TTTAATACAATTTCCAATTTTACAAGAGGTCACTTTTCTTTTTTTATAGTTCACAAGACTATAAAAAAAATATAAAATTTTTTAAAACCTAACCAGAGTTACAAGATTTCTTGCTAAATATTATTAGTTTATAGCTGATTATATTAGAATATGGCTCTTCAAGTTTCCATTTATCAAATAATAAATGGAACTAGAAAACATATATTCTGATATATTAGCTCATTATCTATACTATTAGGACTTGATAATATAGGAGAATGGAAAGCAATAAGCTGACTAGTGGATAAAGTAATAAGAACTTTTTTTAAATAGTTTCATTAGATAAATACATAGTAGTCAGTTTCTATAAAAGAAATATATATATACCAATAATTTATACATGTGATATAAATTATTTGCTGTTGACAAGTATTATAAAACAACTTTTTCTGCTGATCCTTTTGCCAACCCAAAAAACAGACATTTTCAAAAGATTTTCTGTCTTTTGATAATAAAGTCTATACACTTTCCTTAAAAACAATACTAGTTTTAACTAACCAAGCGAGCAGAAGCTACCACTTGTTTTATTTTTCCTTTTCAAAACACTTTTCTTGTTTATTTTTGCAACTAAATACAAGAAACCCATCTAAAAGGTCTACAACAAAAACACTTTTATAAAAAGAAAACTGATAAGAAAAAATACTTTCTAAAGACTCCCAAAATATTTAAGAATCTAGAGAAACAAGAATAAAGAAGTCTTCAGTCTTTCCATTATCTCTTTGGCTTTCCACTTCTTTTTTCTCAAGCATGCTTCCTTTTTTCTGGTTTTTCTAAGGAATTTTGTCAATCTCAATTTGACCCTGAATTTTCTGGTCATACCAGATTTCCTGAAAGATGATTGGTCAAGGTCATGGATTGGTTAATCACGTCAATCACAGAAAAAGTAAACAAGACACGTACTTCTTACATGTTTCCAGTCACACAACATCAAACTGATGATGTAATTGGTTCCTGAAAGAGTTGGACAGTTTCAAATTAAAGTTGTAAGAAGAAGAAAAGTAACCTCTTTTTGTTTCCATTCTTTTATTTTCTTTTTTTTCTTTCCTATTTTTTCTTGAGGACAGGAAGTAGCAATAAGATTTAGGTCCTATCCCAATCTGATAACAAGTTGAAGTACCAATATTTATCATAAAAATAGTTGAAGAAAGGGATCTTAAAACTATCCACTAATTAAGTAAAGCTATAATTCCATAAGATATGGCTTGGAAGAAAAATCAATAATAGAAAACCAACATCCTTTCTGGTTAGAAGTCTTCAAGTGTAAAGTTTCAAGAAATACTCTTCTGGAAGTGCCCTTAAACATTCTTGAATATCGACTACTCTATTGAAAATTAAACAGTTTAACTGGCCACAGGTGATGAGAAGTGGGAATCCATAAGAGACTTGGGTTTTAAGTTTACTGATATAACCTTTTCAATAATAGTTAGAATAGATGATAGCTTTTTTTTTCTTTTCTCTTTGTCAAAAAATTCCTTTTTTTATTTCTTTTTCCCCTTGCATAGTTTTTACAAAAGGGGGGTGCTACAATTTGGATTTATGGTTATGACTGTGGAGGTGATTTGCAGGTGCTAATCCTATCAGAAATTTGAGATCTTAATCCTATTCTTTAGAGGAACAATATATTACCTTCATAAATCGCATCTAGAGGCTTTGGCTAAAAACGGGTGAGTTGGGTTGAGGAAATTTATATTTTGCATATATTCTTGTGTGTGTAATGGTTCTCTATAATTTAATAAATAAACAACACCAACCTGATTGTGGGATTAAAAAAAAAATAACTAGCTAAGTTAATAAGTCTAATGCTAGCTTGTCTATATAAACTATCTTAGTAGTAAAATAAATAAATATTAAAACTATTATACATTTGAGATAGTACCAAGCAGCTATAAATATCTATAAAAAATTTTTTTTAATTCAATTAATTATATTATATATTATAAATTTTAAATAATCTGTTATATAAATTATTTTTATGGATCTTTTAAATATTATTTGTTTAAAGCTTACGTACTTATAACTATTTTTTTACATTTTAAGCTTTGATAAAAATAATATTTATATTGACTTTTTATTAATAGTTATAAAAAAAAATATTTTTATTTTAATTAAAATTTATATTATATAAATTATTATTTTATAAAATAATATATAATATAATTTTAATATATTGAATTAAAAATTAAAATATTTATAATATCTATTGTAATAAAACTAAATTAAGTTAAATATATTTTAATATCTATAAAAATAAAATTGTTCTTTAAAAACTTTTTTCCACTTTTCTTTTTGCACTTGAAACTTTTCTTTTTAGAAAATTTTTGAGTTGTTTACTTTTTTTCACATTTTTCTTTTTCTTTTCTTATTTATTTTCTTTTATATCTTTTTATTTTCTCTTTATATCTTTTTTTCTTTCTTCTATATATATATTTTTTATACTCTATACTCTTTTTCTTCTTATTTTTTCTTTTTTTTGTTGAAATCAAGTTTTTCTTCCTAGGTTTCTTTCTTTCTTATAAATTCTACTTTCTATAATATCATTCTTCTAGTTAGTTAACTTCCTTTTCTTAATAATCATATTAAAAATTAGTAATTTTTCTTAAAATATAAATTTTAAAATTTTTTTCTTTTTCATAACTCTATAAAAAAAAACCAAATAATTTACTTCCTTCAAAAAATTAATATAATTATTATTATTAAATACAATATTGTTTATTTGTTAATAATAAGACTAGATATATCTAAGAAATCAGTATACAATTATTATTATTTAAAAGTATTTAAGGAGTTATACTTTATAGTATTCAAAATAATATGATAACCAATATTAATACAATTAATAATAAGCTACAGGTATTATACTAGTGATTGAAAAAATCTAGTAAAATAATATATAAAGATCAAGAATTCTAATTATCTTTATAATACAAGTTGGTAATAATAACAAAGGTTTCTTACTTATCTCTCTAATAATATAGATCCATTATACAAGGTTAGATATTAATACTTTTAAGAAACTTCTTATATCCAATATTTTTTTTAACAAACTATAACTTTATATTCAATTTTTTTTTATATTTCTGATTTTAACTTATTTAAAATAAAAATATACCTTTTAAAATCACTTTAATAGTAAAATTAATTGTTGTCTTCTAGCTTATAGTCCTAGTAATAGATTTAAATAGAAGGTTAATACTAGATACAAATAGTAAAAAATTGTTATTATTATAGGATTATTTTGATAATAAAATAATTGTTATTCTTCAATCTTTAGTTCTAGTAATAGGTTCAAATAGAAGATTAATATTAGATTTAAATAGTAAAAGACTGACTTTATTTTGATATAATTTAAGTTTAGTATAGTATAAAATTATTTGTTATATATCAAATTATATTTAAAAAGTAAATATACTAATTATAGTTATGACTTGAAGGTCAACTTGTATATGATAACTGCAGTACCTTTATATGATTAGATAATTAAAGCTCTTTAAATAGCTAAATATTATTTAAGGCATAATCGAAGTTTTGAATTTTATTTTTTTATATTCTTAAATAGTGCCAAGAAGCTTAAGTGAATAAGTCACTTTTGTTGAGCCTAGTATTAAACTTTTTTTAATAAAAAGATATATATATTATGTTTTGGTTTATAAATTTTGTAACTGCAAATTTAAAAATAAAAATAAAAATAATGTATAAGGATCACTTGTTTCTTCAAAAAAATATAGTTTTCAAAAAAACTTTTGATTAGATTTATTTATTTTAATTTTTCAATATCTTGAAACTTGTAGATATAACTTTTGTTAATATAAATCATAAAATATAAGTGATATTGTTAATTGTTTTAATAGTAACTATTGTTATTGTATTATAAAACTAGTTTAAACAAATTTAGTTATTGTTTTAATATCTAAATAAAATCTAATTAAATAATTGAAAAATATTGATTATTTGAAAAAAGTAAACTGATTTTAATTTTTTAATCAAATAAAAATATTAAAGGTTTTGAAGTGATATAGCAAGTATTGTCATAATATAATTGTATATAAAGGCTAACTTGAAACAAATAGTAGACTCATTAATTTTATTTGAATATATTTCTTGAAAAATGTTTGATTTAACAAATATAATGATGTTGATATGAATGGTTTTTAAACTTGAATAGACTTTGACTAGAGATTCTATTCTATTGTATCAGATGTCTTGATTCTTGAGTTTCTGAACTAAAAATATTTAATAATAAATTATAAACATCATATTTTTAGCTTTTTTCATTAAAAAATTTCGTGATTTTAATTATTGGGTAAAAAATTTTGAATGTTAAATACTGTATATAAATATTTTTTAATAATAATTAATTATACTGTATATTATAAAAAAATACATAAAAATAATTACAATTCAATACTTTCAATTAATAATTATTTTATGATGAGTATTCTATCTTTTTCAGCACTTCTATTTCGTTTAGATTTATTTCTCCAGTCAGCAAAGAATTTAATTTATTTATATTGAATAATTATTTAAATATAATAAACTTACTTATTACTATGACGTCCCTGGCCATTCGTAATTATCTGATTGAAAGCAGTTGTTAATGCAAAGGATCCAGAAAAGTGTAAAGTGTAATAGGGAATATGCACCATAGAAATAGCTGGACATGAGCCGGAAGCTATTTATCAAGGGAGGATATCGACAAGGCATATAGTGTACCGGGTAACCCGCGTTTGATTATTTGAAAATGTCCTTTCTCTAAAAACTTATTGAAACCCAAGATACTTGCATTAATATAACTTACCTATATATCTTGAATGAACCATTAAGTGTATGTAAGATTAGAAGTCAAGAATGAAATACTTGGAAATACCTGTCATTTCTTCCCGGAAAAACTTTTCACCAATCGAGTTCCATCACACCTTTCCCCTTAGATTTATTCTTCTCATGGAATAAATCAATACCTTTGTTTAACCATTGAGGGAAAAACACGCAATTGGTTGGAGAGATTTCGCCGTCCTCTGAGCACTCATCTTTGAAATACTTTTCAGTACATTAGCTAAAAGTTGCAGGCGATGTTTAAATAAATAATTACGATGGTAAAAAATTTGATAGTTGAATACATACCGGACACCTACCACAAGGTGTTGGAGTCCAGGCATTATTCATTGACCTTGATTTTTTAGCAATATAGATTACTTGAGAATCATGACGTCCGTCATTGTTATTTTGATCCGATAATCCACCAGAAAATCGTTTCACTATTTTTCCTTCATGAATAAGTACTTCCAGAATTTGTCGTATGTCGGCTTCTTCGATCTCCAGTTCAGTAACTTTTGTTTCTTGAACACACTGAACAACCTTTGCAAGGGTAGGATATCCGGAATAGCCCGGTTGAAATATAGCATCGGTGTCCATATCTTTAGGGAAACTCTATCGTAAACAATTAATTAAAGTCTATTATATCTAGTATACGTCCACATCAAACAGACGTACGTACTCTGTGGTAAATAAAACTATAACATAAGGTTTTTAATGCCTCCACAACTACTGTGTCTGGTTCTCCGTTAGTGTACAACAACCTACTGAGAGATTCATCTGCTGGTTTGACGTCAAATAGCATGTACAATTTTTTGTTCTACATATAAAGGATGAATTACTTTTTTAGTGCAATTTGATTATTTAGTAATGCATTTAAGAAGATGATAATATTACTTTTGGTTTGACTTCTTTAATCAATTTTCGATCCTGCATTATTTTTAAACAATTTTCAACTACCGATTGAACAATCTTAGTCTGCTTTTGGATATCCGATTTCGCAATGCCTAGAGTTCAAATTTTACAATGTTTTCATTTGTAATTATAAATGAAAGTTAGAATATATGGATTGAGATATACCTTTGCGCTCCGAATTTTCAATAAGTTCATATATTTCATATTCTTGATCATCAAGGTATTGTAATCTAAAGGATAATTATATAATGCAACAAAACTAAACATCATAAAAATGTAACCGGGAATATTTATTAAAAAAAAAAAGTAAATACTGCGCACTTCTTCGCTATTTCCTTCGTGCGAGCTTGATACAGAAATCTTTCATCGTGGGTTTGTCGTTTTCTCACCAAACCCTGCAAAATACACCTTCGTGTAAAATAGAAACTCGAAGCTAAAGCTAAATGGACCTCGACACTTACGAATGAAAGTAAACTATTCAATATCTCCTGTAATTGAGTCCATGTAGTATCCGGTAAAACCTCTTCTACTAATTCGTGAATTTTGATCTCGTCTATAAAACCCTGTTGAAGTATGCAATGAGAAAAGGTGTTTTTTTTTTTTTTACAATAAAAGTTACGAACAGCGCTTACCTGTCCCTGTCCTATAATAACATCGTGAACAGTCCATTCTTCTTCCGTAACCTCCATGATCCGTTTCAGCTTATGGACTATTCAAACTTTCGAAAATTTCAGTAAATGCTTTTTGCGTGAATTTATGGATACAAAATCGATCGTTGACGTAACAGTTTTCTACACGCGACATAGATTTTAAGAAGAAATTTATTTATTATGTAATTGGTTTATCTAGATGTTGTCTATTATTAAAAGTAATGTAGTTTGACATAATATAATAAAATTCTATCATCACCTTTCGAAAATTTGTACTTAACTCTATAAACGAATAAATGCTTATTTATCCAACTGCGGTTCAATTAAGGATTCTTCAAATCCAAGTTCCATGCATACATCCACGAAATCTATGTTAACATCTGTAAACGATCTTAGATATGACATTCATTTACGCTTCCTGCGAAATTCAAGGCACCTTGTTTTAGAATTGAGTACATGTCTATTTATTTTAGCATGGTCATAACTTCCAAGAAAGAAATATCTGGTCTTTTTTATTTTGCTGCCACCTTGCGACTATTTTTCTTCCATACAATTACATTGCACTACTTTATCTCAATTCTTTATGTTATATTGCCTTAAGATATCAAGATTTTTTCGATTCACGACTTGAATAAAAAAATTGATTTTTTATTTATTACATATTGACTTCTTGAAAAAGATTGATTCAATTATATATTCTTTGATAAAGTTAATTATTATAAATTTATTCAATATTACAATTTATTTGTATTACTTTTTAAATTTATAATGTTTTTACTAAATTTGTTTTTTTTTTTGGGGGGGTTTCTCCTCATAGGTAAGCATCATTTCTTTATTTGATATTGTATATAACATGGTATACATTGTGAAAGAAACAACATCTCTTATGTACATGTATAGCAAGTTAAATGCTAGCCTGCCTATGCGAACACATCTAGCTAATATTGAAAAAGAAATTCAAAACAATACTATAT